TTTTTTTTTTTTTTTACTGTTAAGTTGTTTAAGTTCCTTCTATATTCTGGATATTAATCCTTCGTCAGATGCATAGTTTGCAAATATTTTCTCCCACTATGTACCTTGTCTTTTTGTTCTGTTAATTGTTTCTTTTGCTTACAGAAAGTTTTTAGTTTGATATGATCCTATTTGTTTATATTTCTTTTTGTTGCCTGTGCTTTGGGGGTCATATTCATAAAGTCTTTGCTCAGTCGTATTTCCTAAAGTGTTTCCCCTATGTTTTCTTTTAGTAGTTTTATAGTTTCAGGTCTTATATTTAAGTCTAGTCCATTTTGAGTTGATTTTGCTATATGGCCAGAGGTATTGGTCTAGTTTCATCTTCCACATATGGTAGTCCAGTTTTTCCAGCACCATTTATCGAAGAGGCAGTCTTTTCCCCAATGTATGTTCTTGGTGCCTTTGTCAAAGATGAGTTGGCTGTAAGTATGTGGGTTGATCTCTGGGTTCTCTATTCTGTTCCACTGGACCAAGTGTCTGTTTTTATGCCAGTACCATGCTGTTTTGGTTATAAATCTTTGTACTATAATTTGAAGTTGGGTAGTGTGATGCCTCTGGCTTTATTTTTTCTGTGTGTTGTTCGGGATTGCTTTGGCTATTTGGGGTCTTTTGTTGTTCCATATGAATGCCAGGATTGTTTTTTCTGTTTCTGTGAAGAATGTCATTGGTATTTTGATGGGAATTACATTGAATCTGTAGATCACTTTGGATAGTATGGACATTTTCACAATGTTCATTCTTCCAATCCAACAGCATAGAGTGTCTTTCCATTATTTTGTGGCATCTTTAATTTCATTCAGCAGTGATCTCATTGTAGAAGTCTTTCACCTTCTCGATTAAATTGATTCCTAGGTATTTTATTTTTTTGGTGACTATTGTAAATGGAGAAGCTTTCTTGATTTCTTTTTCTGCTAGTTCGTTGTTGGTGTATAGAAACTACTGATTTTTGCGTGTTGATTTTGTATCCTGCAACTTTACTGAAATTTTTTATCAACTCTAAGAGGTTTTTTGGTAGGGTCTTTAGGTTTTTCTATATATAGGATAATGTCATCTGCAAACAGGGACAGTTTGACTTCATCTTTTCTAATCTGGATGTCCTTTATTTCTTTCTCTTGCCTGATTGCTCTGGCTAGTGCTTCCAATACTATGTTAAATAGGAGTGGTAAGAGTAGACATCCTTGTCTTGTTTCTGTTCTTAATGGAAAAACTTTCAGCTTTTCCCTATTCAGGATGATATTGGCAGTAGGTTTTTCATATATGGCTTTTATTGTGTTGAGATACTTCCCTTCTATACTTAATTTGTCAAGAGTCTTTATCATGAAGTGATGTTGAATTTTGTCAAGTAATTTTTCTGCATCTATTGTGATAATCATATGGTTTTTGTCCTTCATTGTGTGGTATATCACATTTGTTGACTTGTGTGTGTTGAACCATCCTTGCATCCCTGGGATGAATCCCACTTGATCATGGTGTATTAATTTTTTTGATGTGTTGCTGTATTCTATTTGCTAATATGTTATTGAGGATTTTTGCATCTATGTTCACCAAAAATGCTGGCCTGTAGTATTCTTTTGTTGTTGTATCTTTGTCTGGTTTTAGTATCAGGGTGATGCCGGCCATTTGGCAGTATTTAAATAGAAATTAATTAAAAATTAATAAAAATTAATAAATTAAAGTGTTCTGGAGTTATATGGGTCTCGCTGGCCTGTAGTATTCTTTTGTTGTTGTATCTTTGTCTGGTTTTAGTATCAGGGTGATGCCAGCCATTTGGCAGTATTTAAATAGAAATTAATTAAAAATTAATAAAAATTAATAAATTAAAGTGTTCTGGAGTTATATGGGTCTCTTTTCTGTGACCCAGTAAGTTGATAACAAGAAAATGGAACAGCCATATATTAGTTTGGCCACTATAACAAACTACCATAGACTGGGTGGCTGATAAACAACAGAAATTAATTTTTTACAGTTCTGGAAACTGGAAATCCAAGATCAGGGTGCCAGCATTGTCAGGTTCTGGTGAGGACTCTCTTATGGCTTGCAGACTGCTGACTTTTCCTTGTATCCTTACATCTTGGAAAGAGAGAATGACAGCAGGCTTATGACCTAAGCACCTCCCAAAGGCCTCATTTCCTAATACCATCACACTGGGGGACAGGATTTCAACATATGAAGTGGGGGATGGGAGGCACAAACATTCAGTCCATGACAATCCACATCTGAAATTTTTCTTTCAAAACTCATTGTTGGGAAAGGCTAATATGTAAATTATCGAGTCACTCTTCTCCCTTGGGCTGACAGGAGGCTTAGGGCCAGTGTAAACTATATGGATCCTCCCAATCTTCTTCTTGGCGCTTCTATTTCCTCTATCCCTAGGTCTTATTTCTATTTTATCACTTGTTTTATGTTTTCTTGCCTAAGCTTCCTTAATCTTCTATAAATTGAGGCAAAGTCTCTCTTAAATACATATTTATGTATATTCAAGTTTTTATTCTTTTTTAAAGAAATTACGTTTCAGTCATGAAGTCATCATAATATCTTTCATGCAAACTATAAGCTCGTCAAGATCAATACCCTTTGTTATGAATAGTGGCAAAGAACTAGGAAAACTGAAGGGGAAAAAAGTAAATATTTATCGCTCATATATTATTTAGAGAGCATGATAGTATTAACTAAGGAAAGAAAAAGTAAGTGTGCAGGTGAGTGGAACATTATGTCCATGTACTAGCCTCCATTTACCACTAATTAACGGGTGACTTTGAGCAAATCACTTAATCTCTATAGGCCTCATTTATCAAATGAAAAGAGTCAGACCAGATGATTTCTAGGGTCCCATCCAGTTCTAAAAAAATATCTTCTTTTTAAGTAAGTCTCTGGGAGCTTATGTTCCAACCACTTGTAGAAGTGGTCTTAGTCAGATGGTGCGTGTCAATAATTACCAGGAAAAGTAGGTAAGGTTTTTGTTCCTGTTTTAAAAGGTGTTCAAACTGGATTCAAACAGTAAAGGAGACCCTCTATTAATCCTGGGACGGAGTATGCAACCGGGCAGTGACCAGAATCACTTCTGTCAACCCACTGATGTAGCTGTGGATCCAGGCACTGGCGCCATCTATATATCAGATGGTTACTGCAACAGTCGGATTATGCAGTTTTCACCAAGTGGAAAGTTCATCACACAGTGGGGAGAAGGTACCCAATAAGACTCTTGATTTCTAATGGTGATTCTTAGCCAGTATCACTAGGAACAAGAGATTGGCCACCCCTCACATTCTTTAAGATGTAATTGTCCCATGCAGTGAAGAAAACAGGGCCACTGTATGCATCCAGTTGGCTTAGTCATATATACACACACAAAATACACACACACACACACACACACACACACATCTTATATGGGAAAAAGAATGCTTCCACCAAAAAAACTTTGTCAAAATAGAGAGAAAATCTTCAATGTGTTTGTGGGTAAGAGATATTATGGAACACATTTATAAACTGCTTTATCTTATCTTTCCCCTGGTTACAGGTATTTAATGATTTATTGTCATGAATTTGGAAAATTTACACAACTGTAGAGTCAGACTTCAGGTGATTTTATAAACTGTATATCTGAGGCTTTTCTTTGTTCTGTAGAGTCTTCAGGGAGCAATCCTAAACCAGGCCAATTCAGTGTTCCTCACAGCTTGGCCCTTATGCCTCATTTAGACCAATTGTGTGTGGCAGACAGAGAAAATGGTCGGATCCAGTGTTTTAAAACTGACACCAAAGAATTTGTGAGAGAGATTAAGCATGAATCATTTGGAAGAAATATATTTGCAATTTCATATATACCAGGTATTTTATCTTAATTTTTTGTGTTTTGTCATACTCTGTACTCTATCCTTAAAAATTGTCTTAACTTTATGTGCTCTTTCTGTAGTTATATTTGCAATTTCATATATACCAGGTATTTTATCTTAATTTTTTGTGTTTTGTCATACTCTATACTCTATCCTTAAAAATTGTCTTAACTTTATGTGCTCTTTCTGTAGTTTTTTTTTTTATTAAGGAGTTGAAGATGAATTATATATCAGATCTTAGAGTATCTTTAAACAGTTACTACGTCGTAAATCATTTTCAATTAAATGCCACTGTTCCTTGTACAGAAAAGTGAAGAACTGAAAGGATTTAACAACTGTTCATAATGGGTTAAAAAATGTTCCCAAACATTACTTTTCATTTTTCCTTAATTATGATCATCTGCTCTAGTGATTAAATTAACCGATGTTATATCTTCACTCATCAACAGATGGTATGTTTCTCATAAAATCAGTATTCAAAATACTTCTGTTTCACATTTTTTAAAAAAGTGGTGGCCAATTTTTTTAAAAAACAAATATGTAAAATAAGTGAGTTTTATGTCCAAATACCAGGAGAAATAACCAATAAAATCTTGATTTTTTATTTTTTTGTCTTTTTTCGTGTCCGGCGTGTTGCTCCCGCACCTCGCTCAGCCAGTGAGCGGCCGGTCTGTATGTGGGATCCGAACCCTCGGCGGGAGCGCCGCCACACTTCCCAAGTGGTGCACTGTAGCAGTGCGCCACTGGGCCGGCCCGAACCCTCGGCGGGAGTGCCGCCGCGCTTCCCAAGTGGTGCACTGTAGCAGTGCGCCACTGGGCCGACCCAAAATCTTGATTTTTTTTCTCATGTTCAAACAGTATATTTTTTTGACTTCAAGAAAATCTGAAAAATTACCCAAACTTATACACATAATTCATATTACAAAGTAACCTAGCATAAGATTTCTTTAAATAATGAATACTGAATAACTGAAAATATATTTAGTTTCTAAAATTTATATACAATTTTTGCAATATATTTTTTAATTTTATTTTTAATTGACATAAGCTTCTATTTTTATGGGGTACAATGTGATATTTTGATATATGTTTACAATGTGGAATGGCAAAATTAGGCTAATTAACAAATCTGTCACCTCACTTACCTATCATTTTTTTGTGGTGAAAACATTTAAAATATACTCTTCTAGCAATTTAAAAGTATATAGTGCATTATTATTCATTATAGTCTATTACAGACCCTAATGGAATGAAACTAGAAATCAATAACAGGAGGAATTTTTAAAAATTCACAATTAAAGAGTTCAATATATTTTATTAAATATATCAATACCTGTATTAAAGTAGCACTGACTATATATATATATATATTATCACTATAATATTTATGTTTCTTAAATATCTTATATTGAAGTTGAATATGTCTACTGTCTTCCCAAGCAGCACCCAGTATTTTTAGGACATGGAATAAAGGAACTTAGGTGACTGAATAGGGAGCAATTTTGGCTTCCCTGAGGAATAAGTAATAAATTCTCATAAATGTCAATGAAAGAGAAATTCTCAGGTTGCTTTTACCTCATATTTAATGAAAAATTTGTCAGGAGCATTCACTTAATAAAGAGGTGAGTGATCAAGTTCATAGTGGAAAAAGAATTCAAATATAACAAGAAAAATATCAGGAGAGAATATGAGAAGAAATCTAGTTAAAAAAAGAATCTAAGCAAAAGGCAGTTCTCTCTTAAAATATTGCACAATAGTAATTAATGTTTAAAGTGTTGATTTTTTTTGTAGTAAAAGTTTTAAAATTCTATAATCCTTAAAGAAAGATGAAAATATCTTCAACAGTGGTCTGCTGTTACATACATTTTAATTCTTTGAAAATACAATGTTCAATCATCTAAATTACTTATTTAACCAAAACATCACCATTTCCATTATTCTGGATAAACAGTACTATACTAAGAAATATAATTTTACTACAAGTGGTGTTCATGGAATTAATGTAAAAAGTGGTCTAATTTTTTTTCGATTAGGGTAAATATATATCTTTGATGATCTGAAATACAGATCTCACATTTTCAAATTGCAGTTGTTTAAAATCACATGATTATTCTACTTGTACCGTAACTTCACTTTCTTTCATATTTCTCTGGGATTTTCCATGTAGCTATGAAAAATATTCCATATTTTTTAAAAGGTCTGGTCATCCCAAAATTGTTGGCCTAAATAACCTGACTTTGCCCAGGACCTATTTAGGATGGCTGTGATATTTATATCTGTATCTCTGTGTATCTGTATATCAATATATATGTATTCCTAATTTCTACTGGCTTTCTAAGTAGAGCAGACATTCCAATTCCTGGTTTTCCTATTATATAAGAAGGCTAGTCCTCTAACCTGTTTGCCTCACATCTGGTTACTCAGGAGGAGATATTTGCTAAGTAAAATATTTTTCACTTTTGTTGCCAATTGTAGGGACCAGGTTGACCATACATTTATTGTTTATTTGTGTAATGTACATGCATATATTTGAAGTCTAATCTTATCCATATTTTAAAGAAATGTTAACTGGATATCTTGTTGCAGGCTTGCTCTTTGCAGTGAATGGAAAGCCTTACTATGGGAACCAACAACCTGTACAAGGATTTGTGATGAACTTTTCTAATGGGGAAATTATTGATGTCTTCAAGCCAGTGCGCAAGGTATTCATATACATTGTCTAGGTTTCAGTTTTCATGAAAATAAAACTAAAATACGAATCTTGGCATTGTCTTTGTACTTAAATAATTTTTAGGAATCTTTTAGGAGATGTGATAACTTTCTTAGCTAGGTTGATAGGAGTATCTAATTATGATGTTTTATTTAGAATAAATGTCCTTATGTGTTCCTAGAACAATTTCTTCAGATGCATATTAACACTGTGTATAGTTCTAAGGTTCTTAGTAGACATTGCATACAATGGCAGGTTTAAATTCACTGTAGTTAGAATACAAAAAAATAAATAAATAAGTCTTTTCCTGGTTTCGTCCAAGTAAAGAAGACACCACAACATGTTAAATGTACTTTTATAATTCTATTAGACCCAACAGAAATCTTTTTTGCTTCTTTTATTGCTATGACTGTACTGAGCAACAAGACTTGAAAATAGTACATCCTGGAATTTATTCAAGTTCTAAAGATTCGGTTTAGGTATAAGACTAAAGGCTGGTTTTGGCTTCACCAATGTTTTGCTATTGTTTACTCTAACAGTGCTTTTTACAAACAGTGACTATTGTTCAGTGTGCCCATATGTACCTTGTTTTGTTTTGTTTTCCCAATGTACCTTGTCTGCAGTATGACTGTCAGAGTGATTAGAATGTTCACATACATTGCATGAATTTGCTTGGGGTACATCAATTTTAGAAAATTCAGACTGCTAAATAACTCAAAAAAGGGTTATTTTTCAACACAAGTAAAGATTTATCAGATCAGAATGTAACTATCGTTAAGCTACTCAACAAAGCATATCTTGGTATTGTAATTCTTATATTATTAAGATACCAATTTTGCTAGATTAAAAAAAACTTTAAATGACCTCAGGATTTTAGAATTAGTCTGTTAGAATACTGACAGCTGGTCTGGGGGTTATCAAATTTTATTCTAGAGGCATGTATGAAATGCCTACAGTGTGTCAGGCATTATGAGATACTGAGGATACAATGGTAAACAGAACAGGACATAGCCTCTTCTTCAGCAGAGCTTTTAGAAATAGTTACAGGATCTGAATTGAACCACATGGAATCTGAACTACAGATTCCAGTACAAACTCTTCTGTTTATGTTCTTGTCATGAACAACTAATTCATTTTTCACAGAAATATTTCACCCGAAAAGAAATAAGCAATTAAATATCAAATCATAGTAGCCCTTCAGAAAGAAATTCATTGTATTCCTAATATATATTTTACTTCCATAGTGTTTTAGACACTTATTGATTATCCAGTCCTCGTTGTTGTGCCCCTTTGAGCTAACTTCCTCATATCTGTTGATGAAGAAAGTGAAAAGCTTAATTTTCTTTTTGTTCTTCACTTTGTATTAGTGGAGCCTTTGCCTTGCTCATTCTTTTAATGATAATGTACTGCGTCAACCAGGATTTTAACTTTTAATTCAAATATGGATCTAGAAATCAAAACTGAGTGCTAAGCAAGAGGCTAGACTCTAAATGAGCTTTACTCTCATAAAAGTATGAAGATCCCTGAATTAAAATTTCAGAAAGTATTGTGTGGAAACATCAGCATTCTTCAGACATTCAGCAATGAATACATCAGTGTGTGGGTCAATACAGCAAACTTGAAAAGAGTCTGACTCCAAGATGAAATTCGCTTTTCCTTTCAGTAAACAAGACTTGATATTACACCACAACATAGAAATGAATTCTGTAAACTAATACCAGTTTAGGAATCTTCAGAATTTTCATTTAATTAGATTTTCATTATGAAGATTGTTTGGATGAAGGAAATAATATGATGATGCATTGACTCCTGTATAAGAGATTCTTCTTTCACGTCAAAGGTCAAGTTTTACATAATGTGTCTGTGCCTGTGTTTGTGCATATTCATTACTTACCTCTTCATGTATTTCAGTTCTCCCTCTTCTACTGTCACACTTTAGAAATGTTTACATATGAATGTATGATCTCCATCTCTGTGTCTGTGCAGAGAAGCTGTGACAGTAGGATGGTAAAGAAGATGACTCTTTCAGTGCTGTATCCCTCAGAGATGTACAATCAATTATGTTTCAAAAATAAATAAATTAAATGGGGAAAAAAAGCTGTGAGGGCAAAATACACATAGCCACCCCCCACATGCTTCTTCTTATAACCAAAGGAAAGACTTGTGGTCCTTCATCATCTGCTTTCACACACACACCCTCAGACTGGCTTTTTTTGACTTAATTCTTTTGCAAAGCAGCTCATGTGGAAAAGGTTTTCCCTTCGGAATCTTAGCCTTAAAAAAAAAAGCACTCCGGATTTTCCTTTCCTTCCTTGAAGGGAATGATCCCCACCCCTCCATACCAAAATAAATAAATAAATAAATAAATAAATAAATAAATAAATAAATAAATAAATAAATAAATAAATAAATAAATAAATAAATAAATAAATAAATAAATAAATAAATAAATAAATAAATAAATAAATAAATAAATAAATAAATAAATAAATAAATAAATAAATAAATAAATAAATAAATAAATAAATAAATAAATAAATAAATAAATAAATAAATAAATAAATAAATAAATAAATAAATAAATAAATAAATAAATAAATAAATAAATAAATAAATAAATAAATAAATAAATAAATAAGTTAAATTACTTATCCAAAGTTATGTAGTGAGTAGCACATCTGGATCTCAAACTAGGTCTTTCTGACTCTAAAATGTGCTCAACCTTTTATTCTCTGAAGTACACACTGGTATGCCAAGGGCTATATTAAGCCACAACATAAACACAGTGCAATTTCTTAGAACTATTTTACTTAATGTTAAGTAGATTTAAATATTATTATCATGTTAAAACAAACATAGTTATTATATGGAGTAGAACACAAATTCCCTATGAATTTTTAAAGTGAAATACAAGACCTTGAGGACAGGCAGCCTGGTCTTCACTGTCAGATGCCCCAAGAAGATGCTGTCTATCATTCTTTTCTCTTGTAGATTTTATTTTGATAGGGGAACCTCAGGTAAAGAGTTTGGAAAGCCTGGATTAGAAGGTCTTTAAATCTGTTCAACTCTGAAACCGTAAAGCTTAATCCTAAAGGTTAACAACATAATTTTCTGTCTCAAACAACACAAAGCAGTAGAAAAGTTCATTGAAAAGTTTACAGTTGAGTGCCTCTGATTGCAACAGGAATAGGGGTCCTGAAGTCCCACCCATTAAGCCTGCCGGTGAATCCCTACAATGAATGGCCTCAAAGTACTGTATTTCAAACAGAACCCTTGACTCCATGGATCAGTCTGAGAACCAGTGATGGAGGTTTATTGTTACTGTAGCCTTGAACTTATGACATATTGCGTTTTACTTAAAGCAAAGTCCTTGACCAATGAATAGTTCACATACATCCCCCTCATAATTATTTCCCCATCATTATTAATATTTTTCCTATCAGAAGATTTGAAGTGCTTTACATCTATATGTCTTACAAATCAGTTTCCTAAGAACACATTGTGGCATAGAACAGGAACTACCAGTAATTTGCAAGTCTGTTGTCACCCATTAGCTGAACCCAAAATAAAGATGAATGTTTAATGACAGGCTCTGAGGTTTCAACAAGGCAACTTTTTGATTTCTGGCTTTCTGTCTTTACACATTTGTCACAGCTCATTTGATAGTGTGAAAGAATGAACCTCCTTGGCATCATTTTTCTTTTCAGTGTGACAAACTCAACAGTTTCTAAAGCACCATAGTATCTCCAGAGCGTATATTCTTCTGCTCCTAAAGTGAGCTAAGAACAGCAGTTTGCCTCATTAGTGCTCTTTGTACTCAGCACTCCAAGGGGGGCAGATGTTGGCTCATAAGCCCACAGTTTGGATAATGCTTCTGTTCATAATCACTAGTCATATTTTTGAGAACTGTGTATTCAGGAAGTCCTGCAGGTCTCAAAGGTGAAAAGAATTATCCATGTCCTACCAACTGGCGGACCTAGGGCACCTTTGGAGGCTTTGGGAGAAGAACGGAAATGTCAGCAGCACATTTTAAGGCTGCTCTTCCAGGAACTAGCTTGGTGACACCAAGAAAGTCACATAAAGTGCTCCCTGACTCCTATGTCCTCATAACTGAGATGACAGTGATTTGAAAGAAAGACATTAAAATGCAGAGAATCTGAAGTAAGTACAAAAGCACAGGAAGTAGCTGGAGGTCATACTCAGCTTGTTTCCTTTGTCAACTGGACTTCAAGAGTATAAAACCCCACTTTGTCATGTCTCCTTGCTTATATATCAGAAATAATCTAAATGCCCTGAATATTTGAAATGACTCCTCTGTCAATAATATACAAATAGTTTTCAAAGTAGCACATGATAGCTTGATGGGAATAATAACAAAAATTAATACCTTATTCTTTTGACTTGTATAGGTTAAAACAAGCAAATTTGATAGTCATTAAAAGGCAGAAGAAAGTTGAAGGCAAAAATAAATATAAATGACTAGGTAGATAATGCATCACCAAGTAAACAGCACTGTCAAAAGTAATCTACATGTATGTACATTTTTACTTTTTAAAAGACTTGAAGGTCAGTGGTGAGAATTCCTTGGCATTTCCTGTTGCTGAGAATTATGCCTAGCAAAGTCAGAACCCAGTGAATGAATGAATGATTCCTCTTGGCCTAGACTTGCTTTGATGGGAATTATTGCTGCTTTGGTTTGTGTGATATGCTTATTATTTCCTTGTGTGCTTTGCTTTGCTTTTCTGCCTTTTCATGAAGGATTCAAGTAAGGGCTCATCACCCTTGTGTGGCTTCTCATTTTTGTAGCACTTTGATATGCCTCACGATATCGTTGCATCTGAAGATGGGACTGTATACATTGGAGATGCTCACACCAACACTGTGTGGAAGTTCACCTTGACTGAAAGTATGGCTTTTACAGTATCATTGTCCACATTTTCCCTCAGTTGTATTGCTTAAAAATGTGTGAAACAAAAACATTTCCATTTCCATTTTCTTTTTACTGATGGGAGTGGAAATAAAGGTAGAAGGCAGTCCTTAAAAGACCTATTTGGTATCCATTTTGGAATTAAGTTGATTTTTAAAAAGCGGAGAGAAACATCTTTTTCTTTTTATTTATTTTTTCTTTTTTTGCCGACAGTATCCCCTTGTTTCCCAAGATACTCCACAGGAAATTCTTGACGCCTGAAGTAATGTCTGTTACATTAAAAGCCAATGTTAATTTCACCTTAGTTCCAGAAGGAGGAGATGGCTTTGGCAAAGCAGAGGGGTTGACTTGTTTCCATAAAGCATCACTCCCCACATGGCTCTTTAGCTTTCAGTAGCTGTTGAGCATCTAGGGATGCCAGCGTTGGTGTCAGACACATATTAACCCAAACAGGAAGCACTTTGCATTTCCCATTTAGGTTTTAGCTTTCCCAAAACACTGAATTGCTATATTTTCATGTATCTCAAAATTTTGTCTGGGGACATATTTTCTCTAACAGGATCCAGCCAGCTAATTTGAGTTTTCTAATAACAGTTTGGACATTATTTCTGTTTCTTAAAAAGTATACTAACCTAGCCCCTGATATCATGTTTTTAAAAAGCATAAGTTTTCTAAATTGATATGTACTGAATGCTTACTATGCCACAATTTCGATGTCCATAGATTCCTTTAAAATATGGCAGGGTCCACCAACAAAAGAATGTGGGGGTAAGAAAAAGAATTGAGAATGATATATTTGAGGTATCAGGAGCTGCAACAGGTAGTTTTAGATAGAGAACTAATAAGATATGTAAACCTGATGAAGAAAAATATCAACTATAACAAAGGAAAATATAAATTATAACAAAGAAAAAAAAACAAGTTATAACAAAGGAATGCAAAATCAGGAGTGCAAAAACTTTAATCCGATACTATACAGGTCTTGGAGCCCACTTAATCTGGTAAATAAATGCTGCCTTCAGAATTATCTTTTGAGTAACTTTTGCTGTTTTGTAATAAGGACCCAATTAGGGTTGAGTGCACAGAGGTGCCTGTGGACTATTCCACTCTAGCAGTAGCTTCACATTCCCCTCACAAGTGTGGCTTTCTCACCACCTGCATCCTCAGAGAGGATCCAGAAGGTGTGGGCAGATAGGAAAGCAAATAGGGATGGATAATCCACAAGTGCATGACTAAACTCAGGACTTTCAGAACATTTAAAAAATGCATAAATACTTTTAGTGATGGAAAAGACCTTAGAAATCCAGTCAGTATCTTCACTGTGCAGATAGGAATATGATTCTTGAGCTCATTAAGATTGTAGTTTAAGGCCCTTTATACCCCCCTAGTGGTTGATACTCAACTAACATGCATATCTGAGTCACCTGGGGAGGATTTTCAAATTACACACGGCCAGTCCCCACTTGAGATCTATAGAAAGAAAAGGAATGATAATATGTATATTTTGGAAAGTCTTCTCAAGTGGTTTTGACAACACCCCCTGATTGAGAAGCACTGCAGTATAGCATTCAACTTCAAAATAGAAAAGCCATCTGCATAGTCCAGAGTGCAGTGAATATGGAAAATAGTACCTCTGCAACAGAAAGAATGCCATTGGAAACTAAACAAGTGTCTCATGTATTTTCCTTCTAGTATTTAACTAGTCAAATCCATTTATGTCAGCTAGAAGACTGGTAATCCAACATGGCAGAACTGGTAGTCAGCCTAAGATGTTGTCCACATGAAAACAGAACTACTTTACATTTCAGAAATAACCCTATGACCTCCACAAGAAAAAGCTCATTCTAAATATGAAGTTCTTAGAAATATTATTTCAGCTTTCCTTAGGATATTTCATCCAGGATTCATGGACCTGGCACCTATTTAGTGGTTTGTATAAAATTCTTTTCTAATATGAGGTTACTTCAAAAAGTTCGTAAAAAAATAGAATTAAAAGTTAATGCAAATCTTTCATGAACTTTTTGAAGACCCTTCATATAACAATGCATTTATTGAACTAGGGAAATATTTTTTACTTTGTAAAATTAATATCAAAGTTAAGTTTTCAAATGTTCTTTTTGGGGATTCTGATTTTCTCTCCTTGCTGTGCTGTTACAGAAATGGAACATCGATCAGTTAAGAAGGCTGGCATTGAGGTTCAGGAAACCAAAGGTTGGTTACTTTCTTTTTTTGACTATGATATCAAAGGCTTTTCCAGTTGTATTCTTTTAAGGTTCTTGATTGCATCTTAAAAAATTATCCAGGCTAAAAATATAATCTGGTAAATTATCTGTGACTGCCTGCTATGTACTGAGCCTCTAAATCTGCATGTTGCCACTGCTTTTTCTGATAAACGAAGTAGGTATAATGAGCTCAAATCACTGATTTCAAGTGATGGGAAGTGATTGAGGATGTAAGAAATCTGTATAGCCAGTGAGCCAGAGACATTCAGAGAGGAAAAAATGTCAGTCACTTTTGGAAGCATGTTAACCTTCAAGTAAGCAGAAGAATACTGTTCAGCATACTTCAAAAGAAAGGTCTTTTCTTAATGGACTCTAATATATAAGAAAAATATCTTTGGTGAGTTAATGCTATAGTATGAAAAGATGAGCTGTTCCCTAAGCTCCTTAGTACCATTCAGCCCCCAATATTTACTGAGGGCCTTCTGGGTATAAGGCACTGTAGCAGGTCTCAGGGAAATGAAACTGACTGACTCATGAAACTTATATCCTGTAAGGAGAGAGGGAGAATATACATGCATACATACATACAGATATATACAGGTAAGTATATCATTGGCATGGATCAGGAACGGGAAAGTGGGATTTAACTATCGGTAAGCAACCACTGGGTTCATTTGGAATCCCTAGCATATTATTTTCCCCCTTTCCTAGAATCAGTTTATATTTGTACATTTTCTACTATCTATAGGATTTTGACATGTCATTTATAGTTAAGAACTCACCATGGGTTTCTCCCGAGGTGCTCCTAATGTTTAAGTAAGAAAGTGATATTAGATGCTTTATAATGATTCGCCTAGATATTCAAACGTAACCTTAGGCTTACTTGTTTTCCTTTCTCATGAAAGCAGGTGGAAAAGAGATGAAAAGAAGCAAGAACCAAGAGGGAGTTTAGGGATTTTATATAGGCAGATAAGAAAATATAGCCGGCTCAAGGTTGAAAGGGGTAAGATAATATTATAAAATAAATAAATAGCGATTGTTTGGCATTTGTAGAGATTCTACCCAGGTGACACTACTAAGTACCATTCATATCACACTCATTTACTCAAGACGTTTCCTGATCTCCTACTTTTCTGTCATTAATGATAGAATTATTGATAAGTTCTGTTTGTCCTGGAATAAAGATGTTGAGAAAGGTATTGTTGTTAATCAATAGCTGTCACTTATGGAGCACAAACAATGGGCTCTACAAAAATTATCAAGTTTAATCCTTACACCAACCATGTGATAGTTGCTATTATCCCCATTTTACATTTGAAGAAATTAGGGATTAAAATTACTACTAACGTGGTCAGGTTTTAAACCAGAGTTTGGTGCCAAAGCCTGTGCTCATGACCACTGTTACTGTACTGCTAAGGAGAGTTTGATACCACCAATTCATTCACTGGAAATTCTTCCTAGAACTGCAGGTTGGACATGGTTGTTAGTTTACTCTGAAACCTCTAGGATTTCAAAATGTTCTCAAACTATTTTTGTTTAAATAGATCCCACCGAAAAATTATAGATTGTCTTGGCTGCCCTGTTGAGAATAGCCTAACCATTACTGACCTCATCTTGGCTGGTAAATGAAGGATGAATAATGCTCTCCTGTAGGCCATTTCCTCCCTCCTCAGTGCACACTACCGAGTCCATTTGGTCAGAAAACTCCCAGTATTGTGGCTGAGCTCAGCAGTTCAAATACTAAATTTTATTGTGATGCCTTGTCTTGCTATTCCAGTTTTAATAGTTAGGAATACCCAAATGCAAATAAGTTACTCTATTTCTCTTTGAACGTCTTTGTGTGACTCATTTAATCTGTTTTTTTTATGATTATATTCTTATTTCAAAAAGAAATATAAATCATGCTGGATCTCTAGATCTTTTCTTTTATCAAAACCTTGAAGCTTAATTCAAATCACCCTTTACAAAAGAGAAAGAGAAACACCATCCCAGATTTAACAGCCCTGTAGATACATGTTAATTTTAAATCTCCAAATTCCAGTTGCCTTTAAGGACACTTATCCCTATTATGAATGATCACATAACTGATCATTAATAACATGGCTAGATCCAGTGTTCTAAGGGAGTTGCATGAATTAGAGAATTTGGGATGATAAAAAAAACTTAGGAAAGTGATTTAAATTTTCAAAGAATAAAACAAATATGCCAATATCCCACCGAAAGCATAGCCCTCACTCACACCCTACCCCACCCAGCCCCCAATAAAAGATGACGATGATAAATCAGTCTTTAAAAAAAAAAATCTCTAGTATGGTTAGCTCCTTAGGCCTTATGGAGAGCAACATATTGTTGGGAAGCTCATTGCATTTAGGAAAAAAAAAAATGATCTCATTGCTGCTATATACACTTTTCATGTCTTCTAAACTGCTTCTTGCTAGTATGCTATCTAAAACCTTCAGCCTTCAGTTCTGTCTGTGATGAACTGTGTAACAATTGATGTGTTGCTGTATTAAGAGTCTTTTCCTGTCCTAGTTATTCCAGTTACAAGTGGTCTCTGGGCTTCTCCCCTTCTGTCAAAGGAAGATAGATATGCACGTGTGTTTGTGTGCCCTCACACAGGAACGCAGCTAGCCTCCCTTTCTAAATATGTTGCCTCAAAGAAGAAGAAAAAAACTTCTTATACAGCAGCTTTTCAAAATTATGTTTATTTCCAAATATCTGTAGAGATTTTAAGACATGCTTGTTCTAGATAGAATATATCTGGCATTCTAAATGATAGATGAGATTCATACTGGGTACCCCTTATCTTCCAGAAGCCCCAGGTCCTGGCTAATCTTAGTACTTCTTCACTCCTGATTCATCAGGATGCTTTAAATTACTGGGATTTTTTTTTTTTTTTTTTGTCTTTTATCTTTTTCCGTGTCCGGCAACGGATCGCAACCCCAGTGTTGCCCCCGTACCGGACCGGAGACCGGCAACGGGATTGCAACCCTCGGTGCTGCTCCCGCGCCTCGCTCAGCCAGTGAGCGGAACCGGTCTGTATGTGGGATCCGAACCCTCGGGCGGGAGCGCCTCCGCGCTTCCCAAGCGGCGCACTTATCCAGTGCGCCACCGGGCCGGCCCTAAATTACTGGGATTTTAATGAAAGAATTTAGGATAAGGAGTGAAAATGGCAGAATCAGGATTATTCTTTACGCTTTGAATGGAATTCTTAGTCTCTTAAGTGATAACTATTGTTTTAGGCTTTGTACTCCACCTATAAAGGCTCGTGAGAAGAGCAGCAATATTGCTTTTTTTAGACTGGGAAATTTAAAATTTTTAGACTCCTTTCTAAAAATATTAAGCATCTTTTAAGTCTTAAACATGCTTTAGCTGGTTCCCAAAGTTAAAATGTTCAAATATTTTTTAGTAGATGACCCTCAAAGTACCAGAAGTGGTACGGAGAAATTATGAGTTTTTAAAGTGCTGTGTGTATATTTGCAAGTTCATTGCCTCATTCTCATCACACCCTCTCTTAGTGCTAAACTGATTCTTTAGTCTGTCTTCTGTCATCCACAGTTCTTCTTTCCACTTAATGGAGCCAAATCCTGGCTCTGCCTGACCAAAGAAACTATATAGGAGCCGGTTCAGCCATTGTATTAGGTGCAAGTAAACCCACTAAATGACAGGTAGAAAATGCTAGGTAATTACAATCAGCCCTTCATATCCATGGTTTTTGCAACAACTGCAGATTGAAAATATTTGTAATATTTGGGGAAAAAATTGCATCTGTACTGAACGTGTACAAACCTTTCTTTTTCTTCATTTCCTAAACAATACAGTATAACAATGACTCACATAGCATTTACATTGCATTAGATTATTATATGTAATCTAGAGATGATTAAAAGTATATGGGAGGATGCACAAAGGTTACATGCAAATACTGTGCCATTTTAAAGGGACTTGAGCATCACGGATTTTGGTATCTGTGGGAGGTCCTAGAACCAATCCCCCATGGATACCGAGGGATGACTGTCCACCTTCAAACAGAAACAAACCTTTCTTTGAAAGTCAACAAGTTCTTAAATACCAACCTACATCTTTGTCCTACATCTTTTAATCCCATGATCTATTTATTGTTATTTTCCTGCTTAAATATAGAATGAGCTTAAATATAGAGCAGTTTTGGATATCTTTTCTACAGTAACAAAGAAAAAGATAAAATAGACAATGTTTAGGAAGAGTAGGACTCACACTTAATTAAGGTTAAATTTGAACCATCTAAGTCAATGAATCTATGAATACCTTCTCTTCCTTCCAAGTTTCAAGAGCCACTTGAGTGGACAAAATAAGAGAAAGTTATAGTTTCCCCTTAATCATAGGACAAGGAAGGAAATGAGGACTATGAAGCCATCTGTAAACTGGTGATAATAATAGTGTCTACTTAGAAGCTTGGTGTGATGATTAAAGGAGAACAATGCCTGGCATAGTGTAAGTGCTCAATGGATGTAAGTGAGACTGTGAAGGAGGCTGGCTCAGAACATTGAAGCAAAAATCTGGGACTTACCATGTGTTTGTACCATGTATTGTGTTTATAGTTTCTTAAGTAATTTGGGAAACACTTCCTTGGAGAAGTGTCCAGCAAGCTACTAAGTTAAATCTACACATAATAAACATTAACCAAAGATTTTCCTGATTGTGTTAAGCCACCTATCCCTGCCATTTTATTAAAATCTCCATGAAGCCATAAGATGCACTCTGTATCATAGGGCAGAAGGGCATACCAAGGAGTTGCAATTCCATAAATCTTGTGAGTCTTTTGGCAAACGTGGTTGTAACTTTTTGCCTGAGCAAATTCTTACTAGCCTTTGCACACTAGGGTTTCTGTACACTCATATGTGCTTTTGGGGGCTAGAAAGCCTGAAGGCTCAACCTCATTTTCAAGTCAGTAGTTACTAAGATCTTTGCAGCAGCTTATATAGTTTTATCGCATCAGTTTCCCAAGCAGTGCTTTAGGCCTGGTACCTACTCAATATCTGCTGATGTCACAGAATAGTTGTATAAGTTATTTTCACCACCAGAAAAAAGGATATACAGTGCATCTGTGTGCACTTACATTTTGCTAAGAACTATATAAAAGAACATGAAAAGGACAGAATTCCTTTTTGCTTTGTAAGCCTAGAATTAATGTGTGCAGCTATGCATGTACCAAAAATTCACTGAACATGAAAGAGATTCATAAACTAAAAATAAAAGGAAACAAATATTTATTAAGCACCTTCATTATTTCATTATGAAAGACATTTACATCCAACAGTTTTATGAAGGAGGTATTATTATAATAATTTTCCAGATGAGGTTACAAAGACACAAATACTTTAAGTAACTTGCCCAAAGTTATGCAGCTAGTATATAGGAGAATTGGGATTTGAGTCCAGGTTTGTGTGACTCCAGTATGCACACCAGTTCTTCCACCTATGCAATGCTGCCTGTTAATTTAAACACTGGAAAAGTACAAAAGAAGGATACATATTTTGTGAAGTTATAGTTAATGAGGGTATTAAACATAGAACCAAAAAAAAAAACAATTCGAAGGTGACAAACTATTCAGTGGAAATAACAAATCACAATATCTGCTCTCAGCTTGGTAGGTTCAGACATTAAAACATGAACCCCACGTGCATTCGACTGAACAAGTTCTTTGTGAAGAGTTGTTGATTTGACTGGGTAGGGGTGGGTGAGAGGGTTTTGAGTCTTTGAGTCAGTTGAATATTGTGAACTCTTCTTTCCCTGAAGAAGCCGAGACAGTTGTTGAAACCAAAATGGAGAACAAACCCACCTCCTCAGAATTGCAGAAGATGCAAGAGAAACAGAAACTGATCAAAGAGCCAGGCTCGGGAGTGCCCGTTGTTCTCATTACAACCCTTCTGGTTATTCCGATGGTTGTCCTGCTGGCCATTGCCATATTTATTCGGTGGAAAAAATCAAGGGCCTTTGGAGGCAAGTAAAATGAGCCCTTTGAACTTGGAACCTGCCTTTGACAGAGTGTTTGGCCTAATTATCCTCAGTAGTTTGGTTGTGATTTTTTTCAGTGTCTTTGTTTTCTTCGTTGTTTTAATTTTTAAATGCTTTCTGCCTTTTTTGACATTATTGTTTATGTTCCAGATATTGTCTATAGATAATATAACATTTTAGGTCTCTGAAATTTGGATAGTTACATTAAAATATAACCTTTAAAACTGCCTTTTAGCAGTTAAGCCCAATTAGTGTCTCCATATAAAACTATGTAGATAGTAGAGTCAGAATAAATTAGCTGAAGAATCAGGGAGCAGCTGTTAGGAACAGGCCCAGTCCTCAAAGTATCTGGGTCAGTTTTTTGAAGGTTGTGTTTTTCCCCCATCAGACTGGCTCTAGCAGCTAGCTACACAACCTTGGGCAAGTTACTTAATCTTTCTAAACTACAGTTTCCTCATCAGTAAAGTGGAGATAAAATACTTATTACCTCACAAGGTTGTGCAAAGATTAAGTGAAATGATGCACATATAGCATTTATCATAGAACCTGCACCTAGTAAGTACTCAATACCACCGGTGATTGTAATGAATAATCATTGGTAATAAGAAATAAAAGGCATAACAAGTCATAAAAGATATTTATCTTAAACTTAACTCAGCTTTCTCAAGAAAACTATTTCTATAATAAACCATTTCATAGTTTTTGAATAGTCATCATTTAGGCCATCAACCTTCCCTAACCAAACAAGGCAGGGTCCAGTACTGCAGTCAGTATTTTTTAAAAGCATTATCACAGTATAGGACCCAAGAGCTGAATTCCTTTCAGGACATCCAAATAAATACAGAAATAACCCGACCCATGGTTTTCACCTCTCAGTAGCAGTCCCTTGGCTGGGTCCCCAGGTCCTAAGGCAAGAGTCTACAGCTGTGTCTGGGAAAGAATCCGTGGACCAGGTTGGGAGGCAGCATTCAATCAAAAAACAGCATCTGATCCTATTTCAGGCCAAGGTAGCCATGGCCTGGGATCCAGTGCCCATGGCAAAGCCCTGACACAGAAAAAGACATGGGAAGAGAAAACAGAGAATTCAATTTAATAAATTGTGAAAGAGTTTTTCTTGGACTTTCTTTTGCTTTTCATCTGCAATCAATAAATCTCTGCAAAGATACAGCTAACTCTTTCTGAAAAGGACTTTTTCCGAGCCTCTGTTATGGATCTGAAACTGTCATAAGCAGAGGCAAAGATAAGTAAACATAGTCATTGTCTTCATGGAGTTAGATAGAAGCTTTAAGAGAGCAAGAATCTTGTGTGTCTTATTCACTGATATGTCCCCAACACAAATAAGAGTTCCTGGTACTAGTTGTTGAAAGAATAAATGAATAAATAAATGGAGCTCACAGACTAGATGACACATAAAAGAGAGATGACACACAAAAGTTACGATAGAGCATGGGAAGTATTGTGACAAATACACAGAATGTTAAGAACATGTGGGACCTTGGAGCAGGGGGCAGGAATAGTGGTAACCAACCCAAACTGAGAGGGTAAGTGACTAGGGTCAAGAAGGTTTGGTTTCTCCTGTTTGCTATTAAGCACATGTGACATGGCACTGTTACACAATGCTAACTTCACAGGAATGTGTTGGAAAGGCAGAGACCCAGGACAAACCATATGAAATTGGCATTATTCAACCATGTTTTATTTTAAAGTGTTGCAATTTTATATGGTTCAGTCTAATACATTTAATTCTGAAAATAGATCTTTTTTCAACATTTGTTGTTGATAGGTCTAATCCAATCTATTATAAGGTTTTTATAAACTCTCATAAAGGACTTTCAGTTTATTCAGTACATCCTTACTACATGTTGGCTGCACATCAGACACTGTGCTAGACACAGGGGATACAAAACTAAGGAATGTCCCACATCCTTGTGGAACTTACAGTCTAATTTGTTGGCTTTCTAACAGTCTGATCAGATTCTTCTTCCCTTCTCACCTGGTTCTTTCCCCATCCACTCTTCTACCTTTTCTCTGTCATCTGCCTGTTAGCTGTTTCTGTGATGCTGCCTCCACTCCTGGTTAGAGACTTCATCAGAGACCCCCAACCCTGGCTTCCCTGATCATAGCCTTTGAGAGAGTGGTGGAAGCAAGGGAAAAAAGAGTTCAGAAAGACACAAGCAAGGGAAAAAACGAAATAAGGAAAGAGGATTGATCCTTCTTGGGGATGGGCAGAACCCCACGGGGAACATTTGAGTCACCCTGTGTGCTTGGAAATACTCAGGGTTTCATGTTTTTTGTCTTCACTTAAGTGTCACATAAAGGGGAAATGATGTACATGGATCCAAAGCTTTCTCAAGCAGGATGTCTCCTGTTATTAATAGGAAGAGTAAAGCCTAAAGCAAATATTGCTAAATTGCAATAACCAAAGCTTCCAAATTTTAAAATTATTGGTAACTTAATTGTATCCTAATACAAATAACTAACATTTTTTAGCATATACTGTATATGTACCAGTCACTGTTCTAAACAGTGCAGTGTCCCATCTAAAACCTTACAGATACGTAGGGATTGTTAGTGACCCCTCTTTTCTCAGAGGAGAAAACGGAAGCTCAGGGAGGTAATTTATCGAGATTGCACAGTCTGTAAGAGACATAAGCAGGTGTCAAACCCAGCTCAGGCCTGTATATATATATATATATATCCACAGTTTATTGCTTTTTTCTGTTAGAATTGCATATGGACAAGAACTAGGCTTTGTTAATTGTGAGTTCCTTATTTTGTGTTGGAGATTGAGCCCATGGATTACGGAGGGTGATTGGGACTCATTTTGAAATGTGCCATCTTTTTTTTAGCAGATTCTGAACACAAACTTGAGGCAAGTTCAGGAAGAGTCCTGGGAAGATTTAGAGGTATGCCTGTGACCTTTTAGAATCCTTCATGTTTGGTTCAAAGTCAACAAGCTCATATCTTTTAAAGAGCAAGGAAATATTTCATATTTTGGCTCTTAAAATTAAGCACCTAGTATGCAGCCTAGCATCCCCCAGTGTAAATGCAGAATGCAAACCATAAACTAAATCAAAGTGTATGGTTCAGGCAGCAAATTTTCCAGTTTTATCTTTTTCTACCTTACCATTCTATATTATCTGATTCTCTTCCCCTGCCTTTTATCTGCCTTCATTTGTCTTCAGTAAATTTTCTGTCACTTCTGTCATATGTCAGTGCTTGTCACAGTGAAGATGACCTTTTCATAAAGTCATTGAAATGAGAGCTGCTCAAGGAATGCCAATTCCAAAGAGCTGGGGAAAAGCAAGAGGCACAAAGTGAATCTGAAATATTCCTGCAGAAAGACATAATCCTGGGAAGCTTGTTTTTTCTTCTTTATTTTAGTAAGCCTGTGGAGTAGTATCTATCTGGCTTTGAAGGATAAGTTCCTCTGTCTTTTTTTTTTTTTTTAATATCTACACTTTCCCATCCTCAACTTCTGGCTTTGTTTACCATTTAAGAGTTTACAAGGAAACTGAGAATCATTTGTGCAAATTTTACCTCAATTCTCTGTTATTGTTTGCTTTCTTCAGGAAAGGGGAGTGGAGGCTTAAACCTTGGCAATTTCTTTGCAAGCCGGAAGGGCTACAGTCGAAAAGGGTTTGACCGCCTTAGCACCGAGGGGAGTGACCAAGAGAAAGATGAGGAAGACGGAAGTGAATCCGAAGAGGAGTATTCAGCACCTCTGCCCCCACCGGCACCTTCCTCCTGAAAACCAGGCATTGATTTAGGTTGAGGGAGATTTAAGAATGCCAGATTCCTTTCCCTTTAGCACGTTTAAAGTTTTGTATATTTAATTGTAAACTGTACTAGTCTGTGTGAGACTGTACCCATTTTATTTACTTTGTTTTGGTTAAGTTGGCTTCTGTTTCTAGTTGAGGAGTTTCCTAAAAGTTCATAACAGTGTCATTGTCTTTATATGAACATGGAATAGAGAAACAGCCCTCTTCTTCCATCATAGTACTAACCTAATGATGGAAGATTTGCTCATTTACATTTCTGACACTTTTCTGTGGATGTAAATTACCCCATTCTCTGCTTGAACACAGTATTTTCCCAGTAGCACTTCCATTGCCAGTGTCTTTCTTTGGTGCCTTTCCTGTTCAGCATTCTCAGCCTTTGGCTGTAAAGAGAAACTTTGTGCTACATGAGGACAAAGCTGCTAAATCTCCTATTTTTTTAAAATCACTAACATTATATTGCAATGAGGGAAAGATTTTAAAAAGTCTCTATTTAAATTCTTTTTTAAATTTTGTTCTTAGGTTGGTGTGTTTACGGGATGTCTTATTTTTAGATGGTTACACTGTTAGAACACTATTTTCAGAACCTGAATGTAATTTGTGTAATAAAGTGTTTTCAGAGCATTAGCTGTCAAGAGTGTATTTTGAAATTTTTGCATATTTGCAGGGTTTTGTATGCAACTTTTGTAGTAATTACACAAACCAAAAATACAGTGAAACTTAATGTCTTCAACCAAAAGAAATATGTTGTATAAAATTTAGAAGATATTTTATGTAGTAAATAGAAATTACAAACTAGCGTAAGAGTTTACATACATGTTGTAAAACCAGGCTCTCTTTTAAAATTCAGAGAGGGTTTTTGCCTGTGTATTAATCATAGGGTAAATACTTTAATAAAAGGTGATCATAGCTAAGAGGAAACCTGTGTCTCAAATTACATATGCAAATCAGTATAGGTTACTACTAATAGTTTCCTTTTAAAGACTGACTTCGCCCAGATTTCCCTGTGTCCATAGGAATATACATCTGTTACAATGACTGTAGATTACTTTTCAAACACTTTTCATAATCCATTAATTCAATTTAGTAAATAAGAATCTGATTATTTTCCATTTCTTTAAATGGGGCCGGCCCAGTGGCGCACTGCTACAGTGCGCCGCTTAGGGGCGCGGCGGCGCTCCCGCCGAGGGTTCGGATCCCACATACAGACCGGCCGCTCACTGGCTGAGCGAGGTCCGGGCGCAAAAAATAAAAATAAAAAAATAAAATGCTTACTTGCATTTCCAGCATCAAGTATATCAGAGGTTTAATTGACTAATCATGAAAACAATGCAGGGTACTTATTTTTTTTTTTGCAGTCTTCCAGCTACATTATTTTTATAAATCTAATTTAACCTAGATTTTTTTTTCCTCATAATTGATACCAAAGAGGATCTAAATGAAAGATTTTGTCACTTCCCATATGTTTACCTCAACTTCTTGTTAAAGCCTGATTTGGGCGTCCTCCCCAACTGGAAACATCAACTTTTTTTGATTCCTGTGTTCTTCCTTCTCAAATGTTTAATACATTTTTCCTCTCTCTGATCATTCCTTTCTGTTCCTTTCACCACACTGATGATAAATATACAGTATTTGGTAAACAACATTCTGACGTGTGTGTGTGTGTTCACTGTATCTTACATATTTTTAGAATTAGTCCAGTGCCCAGGATGATGTTCAAGTTTTTTTATGTTGAAGAAATTAGTTGACTTGCACCAAAGCCATCTTTTCTGGTGCAGTATTTGATCATTGGTTCCATTAGCTACAATTTTTTAATATGTACACCTAATCTTGTTCCTGAACAGTTTTGTAATGGCTCAAATGATGCAAAGACAGATCAAAGTGATAAATTATAAAGAAGCAAGAAAGAAAAAGGAAAAACAAATATAAAAATGGAAAAATTGATACAGGAATAACTCTTATTACACCTACTCATTGAGAACAAATTGGGCTACAAACATTCCAGCAGCTCCTTAAATAAAACCTAGTTAGTTACATAATTTATGAGTCCATTGAATAATTAGTATTTCTAATAATAAGACCAGAAAAAATTTGCACCCAAATGTCTTCTGAAAGATAGATAGTCTCATATTGCAGAAAGTCTTCAACAGTATTCATAAAGTAGATAAGTACATTTCGCAGGTCTCTTCTTGCATATGTCCTTTGATATAAACACATGGCATTATAAAAAGGGAAATTTGGAAAAAAGAAGTCTGCTAGGGCATTAAAACCCTGTCCTAGCATGCCACACTTAGTCTACTAAACTGGCTTAATTAAAGGTGGTAAACTAGAAATATCATTCATTGACTACATTTACTTCAGGCAATCTGAATTACTGTTACTGTTTTTAGTCGAACTTCATTTATTGACTCAATTAAAGATTGCACTGCCTGGAAAGTGCCCCAGAGGAGTGGATCCCAGCCCTAACTTTTCAGTAGAATTACCTTGGAATTAAAAGAAAAATTGCTGGGCACTTTCTCTCTAGAGATCCTGATTTAGTTTGTTGGCTTACAGTGGGTTACAGATGTAGGTCATTTTTAAAAATTTCTCCAGGTGATTATAACGTGCACCCAGAGTTGAAAATCATTGTGTTTAAGAATGGCTGTTCTACCTTACCAATTACTACAAGTGGGTAGCTATATTTTCACATAAATTATAGTTTACAGATGTTTGAAGAGGGAAGACAAGATCTGAGGTGGTTTGATGTGACTGTTAGTACCAAGATCTGAGTGCCTTAATTGTTCAATGTATTAAATTGGATAATTAAAATGGGCATTACTGATATTTAAAAAGTGAAGGGAAACAGCTGTGCTTTCTTTTTTCTTTTTTTTTTTTTTACATTAAATTAGCCAGAGGATAGAATTTCCGGGGAGTTAAAAGAATAGCTTTGTCATTCACTGAGTTGGCCCTGAATTATCATATGCGTAAAATCTTTTGTTATAAGCTTTCTTCCTTAGTTTATTAAATCAGCATATTCTTTTTCAAAATTCCCATGCATCTTTAAACTGTCACCCAAATGTTATATAATTGAATATTTAAGAGCCTGAGTGACACCAGAAGCCGCAGACTTTGTAATAAGGCTTATTTCCCAGACTGTCACTGGATAGTAGCTCAAACTGTGGGTAGCCTATAGCAATAGTTCTCAAACTTCAATGTGGGTAAGAATCAACTGGGAGTACTTATTTTAAAAGGACTGACTTGGTCCCAGAGTTTCTGACTTACTATGTTGGGTGGAGCTCAGAGATCTCCTTTTTTAAGAAGCACCGCTGGTGATTTGGATCCAGGTGTTCCTTGGTCCCTCTCCAAGAAACACCATCCTAAAAAGAGGAAATGAGCCATAAAACATTATTGGGCACACAAAGCCATATTTTCAAATATTTGGTCTCTCTAGAGTGATGATTAGACTCAGAGTTATCAACCCCAGTTCCTAACCTCAGATCACACACACACAAAGAAAAGATGCAAATTATCTTCCAGGCCAGAATTTATCAGCAGTTTCTCTCCCTTAGTCCCTTTAAACTAATAACTCCACCAGGGGAAATAACTTGGATGCATGGAAAGGCCACTAGGGACCTTCCTAAAACCTCCTTTAAGAAAATCATCAAAGACAAGTGATTTCTTCAATAGGCTACCATTCTAGATTTTTGAATCACATCTAAAGACAAGAATAAGAAAAAAACCCTTTATGGTGTGTTTTTCCAGCATCGTGATTTAATTTGGGAGCATATGCATGCTCCCAAAGGATACCTGTCATATCCTTAAAAATTTTGAAACATCAGAACACAAAGATGACAATCAAATATCCAAAGTACAGGTATGAAACAAGGGCATATATTTTCACTATTTTCATATAGTGCTCTAAAATTGAGTACGCACTGAATTGAGAGAGTACAATGAAAACCTAATAATAAAATGCTCATGTTCAGATGTACCCAGATATAATATGAAATAGACAGGAGCTTACAAAATCCATTTTGACAATAGAACCCATTTTCATTTCTGAATGAAAATGCATTTTATTATACATAGTCTCTTAAAATGAATAAACCAGTCACTTGAGAATGCTCTAATTATTTCCTCTATTCTACTATATAATTCTCCATGCCTTTTAAAAAATACTGTCGTCTGAGAAACAGAAGGGTAGGTTGGGTCCTTTTATGATGCTGGGTCTAGCCTCATATTCCTTTGCCTTACAATTACTTCTCAGCAGGAGATTTCCCATCATAAAAACTCCCTGTAGTTGTGATTCTCTGTTTTGCTTACTTGGTAATTAATTAGTTTACTATAATTGGAAGAGATTTTCAAGCATGCACGCAGATGGCATAACACAATTGTGTTGGTTCTTACAACTCGCTTCTACTTCTAGATAAGGAGATAGTGCTACTCAATAGTATGGCCCAGTGTTAGCTAACACTGAGTTTGGAAAGAACACTTGTTAGGGTCAGAAAGATCTGAAATTCTGAGTTCTAGATTTGGTTATTTTATATAATCAAATTCACCAGTGGTTAACATTTTGTCATATTTTATCTCTTTTTTTATAGATGCACACATATATGTGCTACACACACACATTTGAAAATAGTTTCATTATGTGTAATTTTATGTATACCAAGTATACCTCAATAAAGCTAGAAAAAAACATTTCTTAAGGCAACAAGAGGAGACAAAAAAAGAAACGAAATAAAGATTACAGAGATCACAACCTTTACCCTAAATACTTCCAGTCTTACCTCTTAAGAACTAGGCATTCTCTCCTACATAATCACAAAACCATTATTATACTCAAGAAATTTAACACTGATTCCTTATTATCAACCAATATATATCCTATATTCAAACCCTCAATTTCCCCAAAAAGTCCTTTGGAGCTTTCAATTTTTGATACAGAATCTAATTAAGATTCTCACATTGCATATGTTTATCACATCTACTTTGATCTAAATTAATTCTCTTGCTGTTTTTTTCTTCCAAAACATCAACATTTCTTATGAGCCCAGGCCAGTTGTACAAATACAGTGTCTCACAGTCTGCACTTAGCTGACTGTTTTCTCATGATTGGATTCATGATTGTGATGTTGCCTACTTCCCACTGCCTTTTATTAGGAGGCACACAATGTCAGTTTGCCCCCATTTGGTGATGCTAAATTTGATCACTTAAGTAATATGGTGTCTCTATTGCATATGTTCCACCTCCATTTAGTCTGTAGAAAGTAATCTTAAAAGACACTTTTTTTTTTCGTTAAATTTTTATTTTGTCAATATACAATGTATATGATTATTATGGCCCATCACCGACACCTCCCTCCCTCCTCCCTCTCTCCCCTCCCCCCCAAGAATGTCCTTTCCGTTTGCTTGTTGTAACAACTTCAAAAAAGTATAGTTGTTATATAAAGACACTTTTTTTTGTTTGTTTGTTTTTTGTCTTTTTCCATGTCTGGCAACGGATCACAACCCTCAGTGTCGCCCCCGTACCGGACCGGGGACCGGCAACGGGATCGCAACCCTCGGTGTTGCTCCCGCGCCTCGCTCAGCCAGTGAGCGGGAACCGGTCTGTATGTGGGATCCGAACCCTCGGACGGGAGCGGCACACTTATCCAGTGCGCCACCGGGCCGGCCTCTAAAGACACTTTTAAGATCATGAGTATCCTATTCCCCAACAACATTTTACCAAATGGTTTCAGTATCCATTGATGATCCTTTTCTGAATCCATAATATTGAGGGAGTTCTTAAATTATTTTCTAATTCTCTCATTTCATCTGCATTTACTAGCTGGCCTTCTGTAAATGACTGAAAGTCTTACTGTCCCACCCTAAGAGAAACTGACAACATCTATTCAGGAGCATAAACAATACCCTTACCCCCTTTTTTGTAAGT